CCCCTCCAGGGAGTCCCCCCCTCCCCTCAACTGAAGGAGAGAGCGGGTCACCCTGAAGAGGGTGGCCGGGCGATTATCTGATGACGCAATGAGGGTGGAGTAGTAGTTAGACCTCGCCACCCTCATCGCCACTAGGTAGGATCTAACCTGTATCCTTGCCTGTGTTCGGTCGAATTCGGTTCGGCTCCTCCTCCAACTGTACCATTTTGGACAAATGTTTGTCCAATCTCGTCTTGAAGAGCTGCAGTGATGGAGCACCCAAAAGAGAATAACAGAAAAACGAAAGGAGAATCACAACAGAATAACAGAGTTAGAAGGGAACTTGGAGGTCTTCTAGTCCAACCCCCTGCTCGTGCACCATTGTGCAATCTCTTCTTAAAAACCTCTGGTGTTAGAGCACCCCCCCCCCAACTTGTGGAGGCAAGCCATAATTAATTGTTCTAACTGTCAGGAAATTTCTCCTTAGTTCTATGTTGCTTCTCTTCATGATGAATTTCCATCTGTTCCTTCTTGTCCTGCCTTCAGACGCTTTGGAGAAGAGCTTGACTCCCTCTTCTTTGGGGCAGCCCCTGAGATATTGGAACACGGCTATCATGTCACCCCTTGTCCTTCTCTTCATTAAACTAGACATACCCAATTCCAGCAACCGTTCTTTGTTTGTTTTAGCCTCCAGCCCCCTAATCATCTTAGTTGCTCTTCTCTGCACTCTTTCCAGAGTCCTAACACCTTTTTTACAGTGTGGTGAGCAAAACTGGATGCAGTTTTCCAAGTGTGGGCTTACCAATGTGGCAATATCATTCTCGTGATCTTGATCTCCTTCTGTTGATGCAACTTAGGACTGCATTGGCATTTTTGGCAGCTGCAGCACAGGGCTGGCTCATACCTAAATGTTAAATTAATTTTGATTTGAAATTGATGTCCCCAGTTCTAGCCCACCATCTTCCAACGGTTGCTGGAATTGGGTATGTCTAGTTTAACGAAGAGAAGGATGAGGGGGGACATGATAGCAGTCTTCCAATATCTCAGGGGCTGCCCCAAAGAAGAGGGAGTCAAGCTATTCTCCAAAGCACCTGAAAGCAGGACAAGAAGCAACGGATGGAAACTCATCAAGGAGAGAAGCAACCTGGAACTAAGGAGAAACTTCCTGACAGTTAGAACAATTAACCAGTGGAACAACCTGCCTCCAGAAGCGGTGAACGCTCCAACACTGGAAGTTTTTAAGAAGAGACTGGACAGCCATTTGTCCGAAATGGTATAGGGTTGGACTAGATGACCTCCAAGGTCCCTTCCAACTTTATCATTATTATTATTATTATTACCACAGCTGAAAATTTAAATCAGGGAGAGGCAGTAAATATCCCTGAGCTATTTTGCAGTTGCCAGATTCATCAAATTTCAGTAGTATACTTGCAGAATGTGGAGTATACAATTCTTTGAGTTTTCTTTGGCAAAAAACCATCAAACCTTGGTTTGTTGTTGTTAGTTGCGAAGTCGTGTCTGACCCATCGCCACCTCATGGACAACGTTCCTCCAGGCCTTCCTGTCCTCTACCATCTTCTGGAGTCCATTTAAACTCACGCCTGCTGCTTCAGGGACTCCATCCAACCACCTCCTTCTCTGTCGTCCCCTTCTTCTCTTGCCCTCCATCTTTCCCAGCATCAGGCTCTTCTCCAGTGAGTCCTTCCTTCTCACTAGGTGGCCAAAGCACTTGAGTTTCAACTTCAGGATCTGGCCTTCTAAAGAGCAGTCAGGGTTGATCTCCTCTAGGACTGACCGGTTTGATCGCCTTGCAGCCCAGGGGACTCGCAGGAGTCTTCTCCAGCACCAGAGTTCAAAGGCCTCCATTCTTTGGCGCTCAGCCTTTCTTATGGTCCAACTTTCACAGCCGTACATTGCAACTGGGAAATCCATGGCCTTGACTATACATACTTTTGTTGGCAGGGCGATGTCTCTGCTTTTTAGTATGCTGTCTAGATTTGCCATAGCTTTCCTCCCCAGGAGCAAGCGTCTTTTAATTTCTTGGCTGCAGTCCCCATCTGTGGTGATCTTGGAGCCCAGGAAAATAAAATCTGTCACTACCTTGGTTTCATCTTCAGAAAAGCCCAATACATTTCCAAAGCAAGGCTAAAACTCTGAAACTTCCCCGAGCAGAAGAAATAAAGGAAAATCTCATTTTCGTGATATCTTATACCCACTTTGTACCATCATCCTACCCACTAAAGCAGGGGCTCCCCAAATTTGACAATTTTAAGAGGTCCCAGAATACCCCAGCCAGCATAGTTGGGGAATTTCAAAATAAATATGAGCTGGTTGCCAAGCGTCTAAATTTTGATCCCGTGACCAACAGTCATAATTGTGAAAATCGGCCCTAAGTCACTTTTTTCAGGGCCGTTGTAACTGGTCACCAAAAGGAATGGTCATAAGTCAAGGACTACCTGTAAAGTAGAATTACTAAGGAGAAACTTCCTGACAGTGAGAACAATTAATCAGTGGAACAACCTCCCTCCAGAAGCGGTGAATGCTCCAACACTGGACGTTTTTAAGAAGAGACTGGACAGCCATTTGTCTGAAATGGTATATAGGGTTTCCTGCCTGAGCAGGGGGTTGGACTAGATGACCTCCAAGGTCCCTTCCAACTTTATTACTATTATTATTATTATTATTATTATTATTATTATTATTATTATTATTATTATTATTATTATTATTATTATTACTACTATTATTATTATTACTATTACTATTACTACTACTACTACTACTACTACTATTATTATCTAGTTGTTCTTACAGTCTGGTCTACCTTGTAAGGCTAACATCATTGAGGTTGTTTGAACCTAAATCTCATCTATTCAGAGTTTTCATGAATATTTAGCAATATTCCTATCTTGGTGTTCACGACTTCCGTTGAATGTTTAACAGCAATGTAGGTAGTCCTTAACTTGCAACCACAATTGAGCCAAAACTTTCTGTTGCTAAGTGAAACATTAATTAAGTAAATGTTGCCCCATTTTTTGACTTGCCACAGTTTGTAAAATGAATCACTGCACGGTTGTTAAGTGAATCTGGCTTCCCCTATTGACTTTGCTTGTCAGAAGTCACAAAAGGTGCTTACGTGACCCTGGGACGCTGTGACCGTCATAAGTATGAGTCAGTTACCAAGCATCCGAATTTTGATCATGTGACCATGGGGATGCTGCAATGGGTTGTAAGGGTGAAAAACCAGTCCTAAGTCACTTTTTTTCAGTGCTTTGTTACTTTGAACAGTCACAAAATGAATTGTTGTAAGTCGAGGACTACCTGTACAGTTGTGGCTTTTTCTACACTGAAACTTCAGCAAAATTCTCTCCCATCTTTTCTTTCTATTTAAGCATTTCCCCCCCCCCCCCATCGTTGTTGTTTAAGATCTGGATACTCTTATTAGCCGCAATCATTGTTTGTTCCATCTGCTTGACGTTGTCTGCTTGTGTGTTATAGCGTCACACAACATTACGTTTTCTCATGGCTTCTGCATCGTTTTTGTGTCCGGGCCATTCTGCTGATCAGCTTTATTGATTAATTGATCGTTTTTTTGAGGATGTGGTGGTTCGGTTCTCCCTATTGATGGACTTCTTGTCCTTGATCTGATGAACCTGGAGAGAAAAAAAGCAATTTTTTTTGTTTATTTTGTGTTTGTTTTGTGTTTTCTTTGGCTGACCTCGTCCCACGCTCAGCAGCTGCGTTCAGAAATGCTACTGTAAGTCCGAGAGGACTAACCAGCATTCTTGTAGGATGGCTGAACTATCCATCATCACCCTGTAAGTGTGCAGAACCCCGTGAGCAATGTCTGTGTTTTGATGCATGCCGCTTAAAACGGTCAAGTGTGGTTTGTGAGCTCCGGCTGACGTAACCTCAGGGCACCGCATGTTGTCTTGCTTTGTTTTGTTGTGTGCTTTTTGTCGCTGACAGCTTTGTTGTCGAGGAGCTGAACGTCCTGCATCGAAAAACGTGTCAATGTGTCAATCCACCGAATTAAAATAAGTTCTCGACTTACAACCATTCATTTAGTAACCTTTCCAAGTTACAACAGTACCGAAAAAAAGTGATTTAGGACCATTTTTCACACTTACGATCATTGTAGCATCCCTGTGGTCACCTGATCAAAATTTGGACGCTTGGCAACTGACTCACATTTACGACGGTTGCAGTGTCCCGGGGGTCACGTGATCCCCTTTTGCAGCTTTCTGAGAAGCAAAGTCAGTGTGGGAAGCCAGATTCGCTTAACGACCGTCACTCACTTAATAACTGCACTGATTCCCTTAACAACCGTGGCAAGAAAGGTCGTAAAATGGAGCAAAATTCACTTAATAGCTTGGCAGTGGAAATTCTGGGAACAATTTTGGTCGTAAGTCAAGGACTATAGAAATAACAACTCTTTTTGTTCAGTTGTGTCTTTCTCTTTTCCCAACCCACACCTGCAGTGTCCTGAAGTCACTGTACAGTAGCAACATCACAACAGGGTGTTTTTGGTGTGATGTTTTACGGTAGTGATAGATCTACAAGTTTCCACACACCCATGTTAATTTTTCCTCATAAAATAAGTGAAGTCACATTTCCAGTTTTCCTCAGTATGGACATACAGGTAATCTTCAATTTACGACTGGTCACTTAGTGAGTGCTCACACTTACGATGGACCTCCCAGGATTCCCAGCATTTTGGGCACAAAGCCTGCATTTACAACCATTTGCAGTGTCCCAAGGGACACCTGACCACAATTAGCCATTATTATTATTTTTTTTGCCGGGAACCAGTTTTCAGCAAAAAAACACCTACTATGGGCAATGCATTTGCTTAATGGCCACCGTGTTCATTGAACGACCCCTGCTTTTGCTTAGTGACAGCTGCAAAAAGGTCGTAAAATTGGCCTGTGTTCCTGTAGTGAGCTGCTTGCAACTGTAATTCTGGGCTCAGGTGTGATTATAAGATGGGGACGATAGGTCTTACAACAATTCATTTAATTGATTTTTCAAAGTTACAACATCACTGAAAAAAATGAGTTTTTCAAACTTAAGGCCGTTGCAGCATCCCCATGGTCATGTGAACAAAATTCGGATGCTTGGCAACTGGTTCATACTTATGACGGTTGCAGTGTCCCGGGGGGAAGCCAGATTCACTCTACAACTGTTTTCCTAACTTAACAACTGCAGTGATTCACTTAGGGGGGAGGAGGAGAAAGAAGAAGAAGAAGGAAGAGAAGGAGGAGGAAGAGAAGAAGAAGAAGAAGAAGAAGAAGAAGAAGAAGAAGAAGAAGAAGAAGAAGAAGAAGAAGAAGAAGAAGAAGAAGAAGAAGAAGAAGAAGAAGAAGAAGAAGAAGAAGAAGAGGAGGAAGAGGAGGAGGAGGAGGAGGAGGAGGAAGAGAAAGAGGAGGAGGAAGAGGAGGAGGAGGAGGAGGAGAAAGACTGTGGGGTCCTTGGTATTCTCTGAACTTGGTTGTTTTCTTGCAAACATTTCATGACCCAACTAGGTAACATCATCAGTGCTAGAAGGGAGTGGGGTTTGCAAAGAGGAGGAGGAGGAGGAGGAGGACTGTGTAGTTTTGAGCTGGGTAGTTTTCTTGCAGACATTTCATGACCCAACTTGGTAACATCATCTGTGCTGGAAGGGAGCAGGCTTCTACCTTCTAGCACTGATGATGTTACCTAGTTGGGTCATGAAACGTCTGCAAGAAAACCACCAAGGACCCCACAATGGTTATGGGGTGCTTCAGATGAAATTCAAGCTGATTTTTTTCCAGCGCTTGATCACAGGAGATCAGGAAAAAAAATTTCAATGAGGACATGTAACTTTTGTTGTTTGGTTTATCTCCACAGGCGGTTGGCCCGATCCACCTTGTTACTCATCCCTCTCTTTGGGATTCACTATACGGTGTTTGCCTTTTATCCAGAGAATGTCAGCAAAAGGGAGCGCTTGGTTTTTGAACTGGGGCTGGGCTCCTTCCAGGTGGGTTATGTAGTTCTAAATTGATTCTCTCTCTCTCTCTCTCTCTCTCCCTCTCTTTCTCTCTCCCTCCCTCTCTTTCTCCCTCCCTCCCTCTCTCCCCCCTTCTCCATTCAAGCACCCCATGGAAGAAAAGCTGAAGGGGGGATGCCATTAAAAATTCAGATGATTATATAAGCCAATGTTTCTCAACCTCAGCAACTTGAAGTTGTATGCGCTTCAACTCCCAGAGTTCCCTGGCTAGCATGCTGGCTGGGGAATTCTGGGAATTGAAATCCTCCCCTCTTAAAGCATGCTGGCTGGGGAATTCTGGGAGTTGAAATCCTCCCCTCTTAAAGCTGCCAAGTTCAAGACACATTGGTCTAAGCTACCTGACTTTAATTTTCAATTACTCGGTAGATTCCTCCATTCTGACTGGTAGTTTTCAATCTACCCATATCCTAGAAAACCTCTCACAATTTCCTGGTTGCTGACCAACATGTTCCTTCAAGTTTTTATAAACCCTTGGTCCCTTTGCATGTCTACATTATAAATCTATGTCCCCCCACCCTCCCTGACCCCTTTCTCCCCCAATAATATTTCTTTAAGTAAGAAAAAACACTGGCTGAAGAGATTGGACAGCCATTTGGCAGGGGGTCTTCAAACTTGGCCCTTTTATGACTCGTGGACTTCAACTCCCAGAATTCCTCAGCCAGGCACACGTGCCTGGCTGAGGAATTCTGGGAGTTGAAGTCCACGAGTCATAAAAGGGCCAAGTTTGAAGACTCCTGGTATAGGGTTTCCTGCTTTGAATAGGGGGTTGGACTAGAAGACCTCCAAGGTCCCTTCCATTTCTGTTATTCTCTTAAAGAAAAGTTCCCAGTCTCTCCAGGAACTGAAGACAGATCAGGATTGCTTGAAAATGCAACCAAGAATATTTCCCGCCACGTCCATATTAAGTACAGAGTTCACATCAATGAATAATGGCTGTCAGTTTTCGCTATCCCCCCCCAAAAAAATGTCTTTTGTTTCTATTTCAGGGTTTTGTGGTGGCTGTGCTCTACTGCTTTTTGAATGGGGAGGTGAGATTTTTTTTATTTTTTTTAAGAAAATGTTGATGGTGTTTTGAAATGCTAGCTTTGTAATTCCAGGTAGTCCTCGATTTACAATTATGGGTTTAGCAACTGTTCGAAATGACAACGGTGCTGAAAAAAGGGGCTTGTGACTGGTCCTCGCACCTACCACCGTTGTAGCATTCTCCACAATCAAGTGATCACAATTTGGACACTTGGCATAATTCCAGGGTCATGTGATCACCATTGGCTACTCTCCAACAAGCACTGTCAGTGGGGGAAGCTGGATTCATTTAGTGACCCTATGATTAACTTAACAACTGCAGTGAATTTGCTTAAAAACTGTGTCAGGAAGGTTGTCAATTCAGGTATGATTCACTTAACAAGAACTTTGCTTGTCAACGGAAGCTTTTGTCCCATTTGCAGTCATAAGTCAAAGACATCCCCAGAATCATGCGATCCAAATTTGGATGCTTGGCAACTGGCATGTATTTATGACGGTTGCAGCATCCTGGGGTCATGTGATCACTGTTTGTCACCTTCCCAGCTGGCTTCCAACCATGGGAGAAACTGGATTCAGTTAATGATCTCATGATTGACTTAACAATTGCATAACTCAGGGGTCTTCACACTTGGCCCTTTTATGACTTGTGGACTTCAACTCCCAGAATTCCTCAGCCAGCATGCCTGGCTGAGGAATTCTGGGAGTTGAAGTCCACAAGCAGGGGTCTTCACACTTGGCCCTTTTATGACTTGTGGACTTCAACTCCCAGAATTCCTCAGCCAGGAATTCTGGGAGTTGAAGTCCACAAGTCATAAAAGGGCCAAGTTTGAAGACCCCTGGCATAACTGAATAACTATAGCAAAAAAAAAAAGGCATAAAATTGATTGTGACTCATTTAACAGCCACTTTGCCTTGAAATTCTGCTCCCAAAGTGGTCGTAAGCCGAGGACTGCCTCTTTGTTCCTGTGTGAAAAAGGAAAGCCTAGATCGGGAGTGGTGGGGGAAATCCTTGCCCATTACTATGACACACACACACACACACACACACACACACACACACACACACAGCTGTGTCTGGAATGAGAAGCATGCTGGCTGAGGGAATCTGGGAGTTGAAGTCCACCCTTCGCAGAGTTTAAAAAAAAAAGACTGCATTAGACAGAGTCCAATTCAAGCTAACATTTCTCCCTCTGTCAATACAGGTAGTTCTCAAGTCACAACATTTCACTTAGTGACCGTTCAACATTACAACGGCACTGAAAAAAAGCAACTTATGACCGTTTTTCACATTTACAACCCGTTGCAGCATCCCTAGAGTCACATAATCAGCATCCAGAGGCTTGGCAACTGGCCTGTACTAATGACAGTTGCACCGCCCTGGGGTCACGTGATCCCCTTCTGTGACCTTCTGAGGAGCAAAATCAATGGGGAAGCCAGATTCGCTTAACAACCCTGTGACTCACTTAACAACTGCAGTTGATTCACTTAACCACCGGGGCAAAAAAAAGGTCATAAACTGGAGCAAAAATCACTTAACAAGTGTCTCGCTTAGCAATAGAAATTTTGGGTTCGATTTTGGTCGTAGGTTGAGGACTACCTGTGTTAGCATCAAAGCACCCCTGTTTACTCTGGATCCTGGTGAAAATGGTGTTGAGGTGGGGTTTTTTTTGGGCACCCTGTTATCATTTGTGAGAGTGATACCCTGCTTCGAAATAAATTTGGTTTCCTCTTCCTATTTTTCCCTGCGAGAACCCTGTGTGGCACGCAATTCACATGTAATTCATCCCCTCCATGTTTCTTTTGGAGGGGATCCCCTGGGTGTTTTTTTAAGAGGCGACTGGACTTTCGCTTCTCATCCAAGCAGCTTCCCCACTTCTGACTGAATGGTGGAGAAGGATTTATATTCCTTGCAGTCATCTGATCGTTAATGCTCCTTCTGAGAGTCATTGAGGCTTCCACTCCCATCCTCTACCTGAGATATATTTTTTTTCAGTACCGTTGTAAGTTCAAACGGCCACTAAACAAATGGGTTGTAAGTCGAGGACTACCTATAACCGCACTCAGACCTCATCTTTGATAGAGACTCATGGGGGTCAGGTGAATGGATGGTGTGGAGATGAATTCAGGTTTGCAGAAGGATCCAGGGTGGTAGGCTTGATGGGGTGGAGCAGAGGTCTCCAACCTTGGCTGACTGGAGGGAAAGGGAGGGGGGAGCATTTTACGTGTGTGCACATGCGCTCACACAAATGGGGTTGTGAGCATGTGCAACGCAAATGGGGTACTGCTAACGCACACATGACACTTGCACTGCCCCATTTTCACCACACGGCACCCCATTTTCATAGCAGCATCGGTGCCTGTGCAAGTGGGGATGTGAGCGCATGCGCACATGTGCGCGCACTAACCAGCCTGTTCCACCACCTATTGGCCAGTAGCTTGTGGAGGAGGAGGAGGAGGAGGAGGAGGAGGAGGAGGAGGAGGAGAGGAGAAGGAGAGGGACTCAATGCTTTCTGAGCTTGGTTGTTTTCTTGAAGATGTCTCATTACCCAACTAGGTAATATCATCAGTGTTAGAAGGGTGTGGGTTTGCAGAGCAGAGGAGGAGGAGGAGGAAGGGGAGGACGAGGAGAAGCAGGAGGAGGAGGAGGAGGAGGAGGAGGAGGAGGAGGAGGAAGACGACTGTGGGATCCTTAGTGGTCTCTGAGCTGGGTGGTTTTCTTGCAGACGTTTCATGACCCGATTAGATAACATCATCAGTGCTAGAAGAGAGTGAAGTTCTGGCTTCTCCAGTAGCACTGATGATGTCCCCTAGTTGGGTCATGAAATATCGGCAAGAAAACCACCAAGCTAAGAGAGCACCAAAGACCCCACAGTCTATTTCCTCTTCTTCTTCCTCCTCCTCCTCCTCCTCCTCCTCCTCCTCGCCACAAACCCCATTAACTCCCTTCTAGCACTGATGAGGTTACCTAGTTGAGTCATGAAACATCTGCAAAGAAACCCCCCAAGCTCAGAGACCACCAAGGATCCCACAGTTAAACCCTGAGTTATAAATATCGTCTTCCATGGGTCAACCCTTCCTTCCCCAGTTCACTCCAGTTTGAGGGCGGGGATTCAACCAGCCTGAGGAGCTCCATCAGAGGTCTCCCCTCTGTCCTCCTCCTCCTCCTTAGATCCTTCTGCAAACCTCCGGCTCAACAACCCGACATCTTTTTCTTCTTACATTTTGAAAGTGTGTATGAGCATCATGTGCCCCCGGTGTCCGAGTACATTAAAAAAAAAATGACCTCTTAAAGTTTCTCCCTCAAGGTGCAATCCGAAATCAAAAGAAAATGGCGGAGCTGGAAAGTCAACCGTTATTTTGCTGTGGATTTCAAACACCGCCATCCCTCCCTGGCAAGCAGCGGCGTCAACGGGGGGACTCAACTGTCTATCTTGAGTAAGAGCAGTTCACAGATCCGGATGTCCAGCGTCAACGCCGAGAACCTGGCCACATGAGCCCGTAAGACCCCCGCGTCGTCTCCCACCACGCCCTCCCAAAGAGAGAAAGAACGACGAACCCTACTTTGGACACCACAAAAATTAGTCCTAAGTAGGGTAGCGTTTGGGCTGTTACGTCCATCTGCCTTTTTAAACAAAAACAAAAACAAATCCACCTCCCTTTGATGGAAAGTTTTGGGAGTTCTGAAGCTTTGTCATCTCTGATGGGTGGAAGAGAAGATCCACAAAGTGGTTCCATCTAGAGGAACGAGGTTCTCCAGACCAGGGCCACCTCAATCCACCCTTTGTCCCAAGAGTTCAAACCCTCCCATTGCCTTCCATTCTTCATTTCCCTGGTACCACTGACAAAATTTTGGGTCCTCCAAGATGAGGGCCATGAGTTAACATCTCATGAAGTTGGGTTGTCTGTGCCTCACGTCCAAACACTTCTGACCCCACCATCTTGGACCATCGGTGTCCTCTTACGGGACCGAGAACGTCATGCAAACACTGAGCCACGGGGTGACCCCCATTGGTGGTGGGCATTGTGGGTGCAGAGATGGACCCTACCAGAATTGGTTGAGACCACCATAATCACCTCATTCCTCAGATGGAAAACCCCCAACCCTACGAGTGGAGGGTCTCAGATTTTTCCCTCTTCTGGGAAAAAATCTGAATTATTATTTTTTTCTTAAGCTGTGAATCTCCTAAAACGGCCATCTCTGTACAATAGAGTTATATTTTTGGAGACTTTTTTTTTCTTTCTTGTTTTTTTTTTAAATAATAGAACTAATATGGAGATAGATAATATGTATTTCCGCACATTAAGTGCCGATTAATTGCAGAAATATCTTTTTTTTTTTCAAACCTCTGATGCGACCCCTTAACATGACTACCGAGTCACAGAAAATAGAGTGAGGGGAGGGATTTTGAAGGGCTGATTTGGGTTGACTTTCAAAAGGTGGGTGGGGGGTGTTGTCAAGGCAAGGTTCACCCCAAAAGGGCAGATGGGTTATGTAGTTGGAGGAGGTCTTAAGAGAGCCAACTGCCCTCCCTTCCTTCCTTTTCTTCCTTCTTTTCTTTCTTTTATTCCTTCCTTCCTTCCTCCTTTCCCCCCTCTCTTTCTATTTCCTTCCTTCCTTCCTTCTCTTTCTTTTTCTCTTCCTTTCCCTTCCTTTTTCTCTTTCTCCATCCTTTCCTTCCTTCCTCCCTCTCTTCCTTTCTCCCTTCCTTTCTCTCTCCCTTCATCCCTTTCTTTTCGTTTCTTTTTTCCTTCCTTCCTTCCTTCCTTCCTTCCTTCCTTCCTTCCTTTCTTTCGTTCGTTCTTTCCTTTCTTCCTTCCTACCTTCCTTATTTTCTCCTTCCTTCCTCTCTCCCAATCAATCTCTCTCTTTCCTTCTTCTCTCCCTCCCTTTTTCTTCCTTCCCTTCCTTCTTTCCTTCTTTTCTACCTTTCCTTCCTTCCTTCCTCCCTTTTTTTCTCCCTCCCTTTCCCTTTCCCCTTCTTCCTTTTCTTTTTTTCATTTCTTTTCTCTTTTCTTTCTCCTTCCTTTCTTCCTTCCTCCCAACTAATCTCCCTCCCTCCTTTCTCTCTCCCTCCCTTTTTCTTCCCTCCCTCCCTTCCTTCCTTCCTCCCTCCCTCCCTCCCTCCCCCCATTGTATGCAGCTGTGGCATTTTCTACCATTAGCCATTACTACTAGGAAAAAAAGAGGGCAGAGGAAATATTCATTTTTATTAAGTCTTGGAAGGAAGGAAGGAACTCACCTTCCATTCAGAGCTTCTTCTAATGTGTAGCTGCTTCAGCTGAACTCAACCAATGTCTGGTTGTTGTTGTTGTTGTTGTTGTTGTTATTGTTTTTTCTTGAGGCTTTTGTGCAACGCACGACATCTCCCGAGGACTTTTGTGATGTTTCGTGGGCTGCATGAGTCTCTCCTCCATGTTTCACAGTCCTCTCTAATCAGTGTGATATGTGCGTGTGTCCATATGTGTGTGTGTGTGTGTGTGTGTGTCTACCTTAAAGGGGACACCTCCTATTTTGTTAACATAGTAAGAAAATAATTGCTCACCGCAGCTCAGAAATGGAAGAAATTCTGTTTAATAAAAAGTTTGGGGAAGGGAAAAGGGAAGAATCTTAAGATGCTTCCTACACATGGCATAACAGCGTGAGCTTCTTTGCACCTGTTCTTTCCACCCTGCGGCTTTGGGGTGCTTTCTACTACAAGTAGTCCTTGACTTACGACCACAATTGAGCCCAAAATTTCTGTGGTTAAGCAAAACATTGGCTAAGTAAATTTTGCCCCCATTTTACGGACTTTTCTGCCATAGTTGTTAAGTGAATCACTGCAGCTGTCAAGTTGCTAACACAGTTGTTATGTGAATCTGGCTTCCCCCATTGACTTTGCTTGTCAGAAGGTCCCAAAATGGGATCACGTGACACACATCCCCGGGACGCTGCGACTGTCATAAATACGAGTCAGTTGCCCAGCGTCCGAATATGGACCACGTGACCTTGGGGATGCTGCAGTGGCCGTAAATTTGAAAAAAAAAAACAACCCAGAAATAAGTCATTTTTTTCAGTGCTGTTGTAACTTTGAACGGTCACTGAATGAACTGTTGTAAGTCGAGGACTGCCTGTGTCAAGGAGGAGAGGATAAAACGGCATGTAACCACTGTCATCTAATTCTCTGGTTCTCCCGTGTGGGCCTCAAGAGTTTCTCTGTTGGAAGCAACTTATTTCGCCTTATATAAACTGCAGCCGAGCTTTTCATTTTGGCTTTTGCACTCAAACTCATTTGTATATTTGGTGTAGAAGCTGCCGTAAAAATGAGGATTTGAATGCTGGACAGGCTGGGTGCCTGAGCAATCCTTGGCAAAGCTATCAGTACCAATGCTTTGATAGGCTGCATTTATTCCTCTATTGTGCATCTCCTTCCTTCCTTCCTTCCTTCCTTCCTTCTTTCCTTCCTTCCTTCCTTCATCCCTCCCTCCCTCCTTCCTTCCCTTTTCTTCCTTCCTTGCCCCCACCCTCCCTCCTTCCCCTCTCATTTCCTCTCTCTTCCCTTCCCTATTCTTCCCCTGCTTTCCCCTTTCTTTCTTTCCTTCTTCTCTCTCTCTCTCTTTCATCCCTCCCTCCCTTCATTCCTTCCTCTTTCTCCTCTCTCCTCTCCTCTCCTCACTTATTTCTTCCCCTCTTTTCTCTGCCCTCTCCCCCTCTTTTCTTTCTTTCTTTCTTTCTTTCTTTCTTTCTTTCTTTCTTTCTTTCTTTCTTTCTTTCCTTCCTTCCTTCCTTCCTTCTTTCTTTCTTTCCTTCCTTCCTTCTCTTTCTTTCTTTCTTTTTCTTTCCTTCTTTTTCTTTCTTTCTTTCCATTCTTCCTCCCTCCGTCCTATCCTCTTTTCCCTCTCCTCTGCTCCCCTCCCCTCTCCTCCTCTCCTCTACTTCCCCTCTTCTCCCCTTCCTTCCTCCCTCCCTTCTTCCCTTCCTGCCTTTCTTCCCCTCCCCTCCTTCCTTTCTTCCTCTCTTTCTTCCTCCCTCCCTCTCTTCCCTTCTTTTAAAGACCATGGAGGAGGATCCCACAGAAAGAAAAGGCCAGATAAGCAGGGATTAACACCAGATAAACCATCCAGCAGAAAACAATATCTTAAGGAGAAAATCAATCTCCACTAACACTGGGAGGGCAAGCCACTTGTACATAAACAGAGAGCAAACTTCACATCTTTCTTGCCCTGACGACCTCACCTAGGTGGGTAACGAAACATCTGCAAGAAAACCACCAAGCTCCGAGATCACCAAGGACCTCAACAGTCCCGAAATTAAAATAGTTGGGTGGGACAGCATGAAACTGGGGACCCTTCCTGGCAGACTGAAAGTTATTTCCAATTTTGTGGCATAATCCTCAGCTAAAATGCCTGTACAAAATTGTAGCAAGAAATACAGACGGTCAGATATCATGCTTTAGGGGGAATGCATTTTAAAACACCTCTTACAAATTAAGAGAAAATGGACAAAACAGAGGAATACAGTCCTCAGTTTACAACCATTCATTTAGTAGACTGTTCAAAGCATTGAAAAAAGGGACTTATGACACAGTCATTAAGCGAATCTGGCTTCCCCCATTGACTTTGCTTGTCAGAAGGTCGCAAAAGTCGGTCACATGGCTCCAGGACTCTGCAACCGTCATAAATACGAGTCAGTTGCCAAGCGTCCGAATTTTGATCACATGACCCTGGGGGTGCTGCAACGGTCGTAAGTGTGAAAAACGGTCATAACTCGCTTTTTTCAGTGCCGTTGTCATTTCGAAAAGTCGCTAAATTAACTGTTGCAAGTTGAGGATGATCTGTAATTAATAATACTGTGCCAAATTGCTTTAGAGTAAGCCCACTGGGGAAGTGGATTTACTTTGGAGTAACTGACTTAAGATCCTGCGGACGGATATTTTTGAACCCGTTTTAATAATTTTTTTGTGGTTGTGGGAAAAGTTCACAGTTGCTCTCCTGCACAAAATTATTTCGTTATGTTTGTTTTCTCTTGATTGTCCAACAAAATGAATGTAATATGCTGAATGAATGAGTCAAGCATCTCTTTTTTTTCTTCTTTGTCAGATCTAATAGCCAAGATTTGCTTCTAAAGCTGATGTAAATAACTCTTTTGCGTTGAAAATGTGTTCTGTTTCTTCTTCTTCTTCTTTTTCACTGTGAACTATCTTTTCGAGTTTGAAGATCTATGTTATTAAAAAAAAGCAAGTGTAATTATAACAAGGATATTGAGAATAAAATATTTGTTGTGACACAGTCTTGGATGTTTTTTTAAACAATTCTCAAAACAGAGGGATTATCTGCATGTCGATTATATTTCTAAGCCACTTAATTCAAAGACAATGTTCCTTTCTTGTTTACTTATACAAAACTTCATTTTTTCTTGACTTTGTAGTCTGAAAATAACCCCGGGTAATCCTTGAGTTACGACTGTAATGAAGCTTGCCCATTACAATGGTTAGTCGTAAACAAAATGACTTTTTTG